CCAAGTACAAGGCGCGGGAGGCGGCGTTGAAGGCGCAGTCAGAGAAGAAGCACGGCTCAGATAAGGAGGAGCGTGGGAAGCTGCCCGAGTCTCCCAAAACTGCTGAGGAGATCTGGCAACAGAGCGTCATCGGGGACTACCTGGCTCGTTTCAAGGTGAGGAGAGGGCTGGGAAAGGGGCTGGAGGTGGGATCATCACTCCCACCAGCAGGAATTGCCAGGAATGTCTCTCTGGCTCTCACACCTGGGTTTGGCCTGGGGGCTGTGGAGAGGATGGGGGTCCCAGGGGGAGCAGCACCCCAATGTCCCAGGGGTTTTGGGTGCACCTGATGCATCGTGGTGGTTCTGTCCCACAGAACGACCGGGGCAAAGCACTGAAGGCCATGGAGGCCACTTGGAACAACATGGAGAAGAAGGAGAAGCTGATGTGGATCAAGAAGGCAGCGGAGGATCAGAAGCGATACGAGGTGGGCCTCTGCCCCATCCTGCCCCTCACCGTGTCCCTTAGCCAGCACTGCCCCTCTCCCTGACCCTCTCTTTCTCTCTCCTGTGCCTCAGAGGGAGCTGAGCGAGATGCGGGCCCCTCCGTGCTCCACCAACTCCACCAAGAAAATGAAATTCCAGGGAGAGCCGAAGAAACCCCCAATGTGAGTCCTGGGTGTGAAAAACTGGGTTTGGCTGTGCTGGTGGGAAGGGCCTGGAGGAAGAGGAAGGAGAGGGAGGGTGGGTTGGACCCTGGTGTGGCTGGCTGGGGGTTATGGGCACCTGGCTATCTGTGCCCCCTGTCCCAGCCCGGTCCCTGCGCTCTCCCGTGCAGGAACGGTTACCAGAAGTTCTCCCAGGAGCTCCTGTCCAACGGGGAGCTGAACCACCTCCCGCTGAAGGAGCGCATGGTGGAGATCGGCAGCCGCTGGCAGCGCATCTCCCAGGGCCAGAAGGACCACTACAAAAAACTGGCAGAGGAGCAGCAGAAACAGTACAAGGTGCACCTCGACATCTGGCTCAAGGTGGGTGCTGGATCCTGATGTCTGGTGGGAGACTGGGATGATCCCTTGGTTTTGGGGATGATGTTTGGTTGATGGTCTCCGTTCCCACCCCTCCTCCAGCAACCAGCATCTCCAGACCATTTTTTGACATTTTGTAACTTTAAAGGATAAAAGTTATATACATGGGGAGGCTGTGCCCTGTGCTAAAGCCCTTCTGTTCCGTGCCCTCCCATCCCTGACTGTGTCCCTGTCCCCACAGAGCCTCTCGCCCCAGGAGCGGGCTGCGTACAAGGAGCACATTTCCAATGTGAGTATCCGTGTGGCGCTGCTGTGCTGGGATCCCAGGAGTTTGGGAATGGGATGGAGTTACTGTGGGCTTGGGACTGGGCAGCGTCAGTCCTGGGGGAGGTTGGGATGTGCCACACTCCAGAGAGCCCCTCCAGTGGGGATTGTCCCCATGGCATCTCACAGTGGGATTTTCTCTGGGCTGGACACTGGGAAGGAGCTGAACTTGAGCCTAAAAAGCTTTTTTTTTGTTCCTTCAGAAACGCAAAAGCATAGGGAAGATTCGGGGTCCCAACCCCAAGATGAAGCCAACGATGCAGTCCAAGTCGGTGAGTCACAATATCCATCCCTCCCTGGGGAACGTGTCAGGGGGGACCCACACACCTTGTTTGAGGCATCCTTTGTGCTTCCAGCTGCCTGCCCTGTCCTTGAGACCATAAACTTTCCCCAAATCCCTGCTCAGAACCCATCCAGGTTGGGTTTTGACCCTGGTACCTGCTCAGGGACCCTTTTTCAGTATAAATGAGGAAAGGCTCCCAGCAAGGTAGGGAATCCTGATCTGCTCAATGGCCGGAGGAACCCAAAGGGGGATTGTCAGGGGTGGGGTGGGAGCTGCACCCATGGGTGTGGAGGTCCAGGGACTCACCAAGCCCCTCCTGACCTGCAGGAGTCAGAGGACGATGACGAGGAGGAAGAGGAGGAGGAGGATGACGATGAAGATGAGGATGACGATGATGACAACGGTGACTCGTCAGAGGAAGGCGGCGACTCCTCGGAGTCCAGCAGCGAGGAGGAGAGCGAGGACGGGGACGAGGTGAGGCCGTGGCACGGGGAGGGCACAGGGCCCCCTCACCTTCTCCCTGGGCTGGGGGCTCAGATAGATCCATGGCAGAGGAGCCCCCTGGGCAGCAGGGGGACGTGGGGAGAGGAAGGGGAGCAGGATCCCCCCGGAGCTGCCGGGGAGGGCACGAGGAGGAGCAGCTGCAGGGCGCAGTCAGGAGCAGCCTCGGGCCCCAGAGGTGCGGGGGGGTGTGCAGAGCCCCCGGTGAGCAGAGAACAATCTCCTGTCTTTTTCCTGCTGGAGATACTGAGTCTGGTCTCGGCTCCGTTTGCGCCAGTGTGAATGCCGAGTAAGTCACCAGAGTCAAAGCTTTACACCGGTGCAACTGCAATCAGCCTATGCTGGATGGCGCTGGGGGCAGAAACCGTGTCCGTGCCTTGTGCTCGCCACCGCACAGGTGAGGTGTTTCCACCCCCTCGCTGGTCTCAGCTCTCGCCTCTTCCTTCCCTGGCTTTAGAGGGGGGAAACTGAGGCCCGAGGCGGGTGGGGCAGCCTCCCTGGGATCGTGTAGCGAGGCAGTGGCAGAGGTGAGGGCAGGACCCCGCGCGCTGCTCCGGCACGTCACCCCAGAGCTGAGCCCTCGCTAAACTCACTCCTGGCTCCTGCCCGTGTCCTTCCTCCTCCTCCTCCTCCTCCTCCCCCAGACCCCCAGGGCAGCGATGGGAGGGTGGGGGTCACACCCTCCCTCTGTTGGGTGAGCAGGGGACAAGAAGGTGATGATAACTAACCCTGCCCTGACCTCCCCCTGCTCTCTGCCACTCCTCTCCCAGAACGACGACGATGATGAGGATGAGGATGATGAGGACGAGGACGACAACGACTCAGAGGGCAGCAGCAGTTCCTCCTCCTCCTCGGGGGACTCCTCCGACTCCGACTCCAACTGATCGGCCAAGCTCTTTGTAACGTCGTTTGGTTTCTCGGTTTCGGTCCCAAATCCCCCCTGCAGCCCCTCAAAATCCTTCCTCCTCTTCCTCCTGCCCCCCAGCATGGGGAGCGGGGGCCGGGGGGACCCCTCCGCCGAGCTCACACTACGGAGGGGGATCAGGGGCTGCTTCCCCCAGGCTGGGGGGCCAGGAGAGAGCCCCCCACCCCTGCCCCCCGCTTTACTCCCGAGGGGAAGCAATTTCTTTTTTGGAATTTCATTCTTTCCAGGGGGGTGTCTCTCCATCCCTACCCCCATCACCCCCTCGCTACCAGCTCTGGACTTTCTAGAAAGAGAAGAAAAACACACA